CTAAAGCCGAGTCGCTTATAAGCTTGAGGGTATCCCCAGACCCTGTAGTCCTCTGACTCCCTCATCTCTGATCAGAGTGTCCCTCTCCCTACGGTTTCTGTTCGCCAGATTCCAGGTTCTCTGGACAGAGCCCCGGGACTAGGCGTCGAGAGCCGGGTAGAATGGCGTCCATGAATGGGCTTTTGGCGCCACCTGGCTTCAATACCTCCGACTTACAGGCTCTGGAAGGCTTCATCTCGAGCCCCTCCCTCAAAGCATACTAATCTCAGTAAATATTTAGTTGCTTAATTTAATCGCTCGCACATTAGACTGGGACGGCAGTTCCAGGAAGGCAGGAGACTCTGACATTCAGTGCTCGGAACTCAATAACATGTTTTTCGAACATTACTGGAACATACTGGGAGCTATCTTTAAGAGAACTAACCCTTGCTAATAAGCTCCAACGGGACACCCTACACTCCCTGTGCTGGAGCTCAGATGCCAGCCTTACTCAGAAGCACTCTCTACAAACTCAGACCTGGGGATTGAGATTCTTTCCAGGTCAGACCCCAACTCTGAGGTCCTAGCAGCTACAAATGGGAGCAGGGATGGGTGCCAAATAACAATGAAAATATGCACGCTTGAAGCACTGACACTGTGATCGGTCCTAGGAGCTTTGCATGCCGTTACCCACTTAAGATCCACAACAACCTCCATGAAGTGAGTGCCATTCTCACATTGTATGGAAAGAAAGCCGAAGGCACTCACCTGAGCCGGCTAAGCCATTGACCCACTTAGTAAGTGGATCCTGTGATCTTGACCCCTCCCAGCCCCCCTCAGAGCCCATACTTGACAGCCACATCTCTGATAAGAAAAGGCCCAGCTCCTGGAAATTCCTTTTTCAGGGTGAGGTAGCAAGACTTCGACTCTCAGAGACCAGTATCACTGGGTTTGAGCAGGAGGGAAGCTTTCCTCCTCCAGAAAGAATCGGTGGAGTGTAACACAGCTTTAGGGCACTTGGCAGCTCATACTTCAGTGAGCTGAGGTTTTTTTTTTTTTTTTTTTTTTTTATCGGGAAGCCCATTAGTATAGTGGAAAGAGCGAGCACACAACATCAGCCAGCCTTGCTAGGTTCCAGCCCCACTACTTAATGTCTGGGGGACCTTCAGCAGGTTCCCTATTCATCTGTGTCAGCTTCCTTCAGGGTGATGCAGGAAACTGCTGCAAGAAGCACCGTCTGCTTTAGCTGGCACCAGGGAGCCCTGAAAACAGAGTTCAGAAAACTTCATGGAGAGCTAAATTGGCACAAACTGGGGTCCAAGCCCACCATATCCCTGTGACAGAGGTTCCTAACACGGCTTTTCTCTTTCTTTTTCTTGTTCTTTCTCTTTCTTTTTCTTTCTCTTTCTCTTTCTTTCTTTCTTTCTTCTTTCTTTCTTTCTTTTTTTTGAGAGGTTTTTATTATCCAGCACAGAAAGAGAGAGACAGAGAGACAGAAAGCAAGAAATCACACACACACACACACACCCCGAGGGGATGGCCACACCGCAATCCCTTCTCCTCCATTCTCCTCTCAGGATCTTGGGTACGCACGCACACATGCCCAGCGTGAGTTTAAGCCACCGGGTCCAGAATTTGAACTGTGATTGATTATATGGGAGTCCAGTGACATAGCCAATACGCCAACTGCTGGTCCCCTAACACCGTTTTTCAATGATTCTGAGTGTCTCTAATTTTTTCATGATGCCCCTCAGCCAAAAAACACCCACCTGTGGTTCCCAGTTTGGCTGGAGAAATAAACCACATGAAGTAAGCGCTGGAGGGGAACTCCTAGGTCGAACTTCAAGTATGTCCCCACGGTTTAAGTTTCTAAGTGATCATGTATTCATTTCATAAGTTTTTTTTTCTAAGAGATTTGAGCTTGACCTTTATTTAAATATTTAGTCTTTATACCTTTGCAGTCCTTCACAACACATTGCTATTGTTTTTTTTATAACATATTGTGCTTTTTATAATACATAAATAGAAACTATTCTTATGAATTAATTAATTTATTTAAAGTTTTTGCTATAGAGTGCATGCACTCCCTGAAAAGAGACAGAGAAAGTGAGGAAAAGCGAGAAATCACCCTACAGGGAGGATGGCCATGCCACAGTCTGTTCTCCTCTCAGGATTTTGGGCACACATGCACATGTGCCCCCACGTGTTTTTCAGACTTCCAGGTTTGGGATTCATACTGCACAGTCAGGTGGGATCCAGAGCCTTAACTGCTGTGCCCTGTGCTGGCCCAAACTGGAGCTATTCTACTGGAAAAAAAAAAAAAAGCATTTTTACTTTGGTCAGTTTCATTTTATAAATTTTTCCAAAAGCAGTCAAAGAGAAGAAAAATACATCTGTCTTTCTTTGGGAGTATGACCATGGGCTGCCGGAAACTAACTCATGGCCACCCTGGCTTTGAGCTCAGCTGACCTTCTGGACAGAAACCCTGCTGGGAGCAGCTGTAGTGAGGTACAGCTGCCACCTGTGCAGCCATCAAGATGGCCAATCTGATTTCCTCAGTTTCTGTTGAATCTGACTTCTGTAAGCTTCTTGCCTTCACCCAGCAAGGATGGTAACAGCCCTTCCCATCCTCACTCAGGGCGTGTCCAGCTTTTGTCTTCCTGCCAGTTTCTCCTTGCCCTTCCCAGAAACAGTCCAGGCCATTCGACAGAGACTTCATGCTGATGGGCTCCGGGGAACAGAGGGCAGTGGGCATGACACAAGAGGGAGAATAAAAAAATGAAGGGGTCTACCACCTCAAGGAAGCTCTAGGAGTGCAATGAAGGGACTACAGAAAGTCTGTGGAAAATGGAATTATTATTATTATTTTATTTTATTCTTTGGAGAGGCTTTTGCTATAGGGTGCGTGTGCTCTCCAGAAAGAGAGAGAGAGACAGAAAGCAAGAAATCACCCCCTAGGGGGTATGGCCACACCACAATCCTTTCTCCTCTCGGGATCTTGGACATGCATGTACGTGCGCCCAGCATGAGTTTAAACCACTGGGTCTGGGACTTGAACAGCAGTCGACTACATGGGAGTCCAGTGATGTAGCTATTACGCCATCTGCTGGTCCCAAAAATGGAATTAAAGTAATTGGGTCATCAGAAAAATCATGACACATTTTTGCATATAAAAACATAGGAAAATACATCATGACTTTTCCGATAACACAATAGAAGTCTATTTGGAGGCAAAAATATGAAATCCACATATAATTTAAAAAAAAAAAAAAAAAACTTTGCCAGAGAGTGTAGTGCTCATCAGAGAAAGATAGAAAGGAGAGAAAATGAGAAAGCACCCACCCTGGGGAACATAGTCTCACCACAATCCCTTCTCTTCCATCTCTTCTCTTTCTTTTCTTTTCTTTTCTTCTTTTTTTTTTTTTTTAGAATTATTTTATTTAACTTTATTTATTTTAATTTGACAAGGGGAGGGTAGAGAGAGAGAGAGAGAGAGGGAAAATGAGAAAGCAAGGGACTCGAATTGTGGTTGCTCATGTGGGAGTCCAGCGCCCTTAACCACCACGCCACCTGCCAGCCCCGCATCTCTTCCCTTTCAGGATTATGAGAATGCCTTCACCAATATTGTTTCTACTTCGAGGAGCATTTTTGGAAATCCCTTCCAACGTCTTGTTTAGATCTCTTATCTCAGAATTAAGTCACACAGTTATGCCACCTGTGGAAGAAAGGCTGCGAATATTGCCTTTTAGCTGGGCTCATTGCCATCTGAGGCAAAACTGGGGCCTGTTCTTTTTCTTTTTTAAAGAATTATTTCATTTAACTTTACTTATTTATTTTAATTTTATCAGAGAGGGACAGGGTGAAAGAGAGAGAGAAA